ATATGACCCAGATACTTCAGTTTCCTTCTTTTGAAGGTATTTAATAATGCTTCCACTTTTTTTGCATATAGACTCTGTAAGTGTCCAAATTTCTGCTTCGTACAAGAGAATGGAGAGAATGTAAAAATTGGCCTGTAGAGCGCGGAGCTGTTACAGGGTCTTCATTCTGAAAAACGTTTCTCGTTTGTTTTTATCCTTACATAGTATTTATTGCTGTTTTGTTAAATGCCCTTAAATATAATTTTAATATAAAATTCCTGTAGAAAAAAATGTTGCTTTCTCAAATATTACAAACATATTCAAGTCATGAATGTAAAGTGCCAACAAATTACAATTATCCAACAAGACAAGCAACAACGGGCCGCTATGAAACTTTTAAAACAAATAACGCATATGATAAAAGAACTAAGGATTATTTAATTTCAACATTGTTTACATCACTGTCTTCCGTCATACTTAAAAAAACCTTAAAGATAGTAAAAAGTTAAAAATGAAATAAAAAATATTTGTTAGATACAATGCAGGTAAATATTGAAAAACTATAATGTTGGTAACTGAATGTAATGTTTATGTAACTGTAATTTTAAGCGTAGCAACCAAACTCTCCCGATAAACTTTTATGAAGTTAGAAAAAACCTTATCTTATTTGTAAAAATGTAATTGAAAGGATAAATAAAATTAAAAAAAAACTATTTGATGACCTCCGTGGTCGAGTGGTTTGCAAACCGGTTTTCGTGGTGTCAATCTCCGAGATCCCGGTTTCGATCCCCGGTCGGGTCAATTTCGAAAACTTTTCTACATTGTCCGAGTTTGGGTGTTTGTGTTACCGTCGTTGTTTCCGAAGTATTTTTTTTCAGGTATTTACTTTGGGATCGGAGCAACGTCTATGATGTTGTTTAACATTTATTTCTTTATTATTTTGGAAGTCTGAAATTCTATGGATTTTACACACGTGTGTAAACCAAATGTTTGTGCTCAAATGTCGTACTTAATGGATATTTTAACAAATTGATACTTTTGATCGGGTTAAACAGACACAGCTTTCCAGTTGCTATGGTCCTTCGATCGTTTGCCTCATCAACACGCATGAGTATAAGTTTTTGATGTTATATTAATTTCCTTTTAACAACATGATTCAGATTCAGATTCAGATTCATTTATTTCTCAAATATAACATTACAGTATAAATTGTACTACATGTCAAAGTATAAGAAATTATATTGAGATCGTTAGACGAAAAGGAAAATTATAAGAAAAGCACACAATAATTAGAAAATTAACAATTCATTATATAATATTGTTGTCATTAAATTATATATCAAATACCATTCTCCATCAAGGATCGTCATAAGTTGATAACAATTATACAAGAGTATGTTAATGCGGTAAAAATTAGAATAAAAATAGAAAATACTGAATTCGTTACAATTCAAAGTCCATAAATTCTTTTACGGAGTATATAGGATTTTTCAAGAAAAGGTCTTTCAGAGGTTTTACTATCATGATATTAATTTATTTTTGTGGTATTAAGTACTACTGTACTAGTTTGTTATAATTATTAATGCAATGATCGAACTCAAAGAAAAATTGCTTCGACCTAACATGACTCGCACCTGTGTCTGTGCCAAACCAGAAGTACCGCTCTACCAAATGAGCTACAGATCGAAACAGCAGATCTAACGAAATTTTCTATTTTTTTATTTTTATACCAATTGAGGACCAGTCGTGCGCCTGGTGGTGAAATGAAAAAGAGACTGTTTTATTTAAATTATTAATACGATCTAGACTATTCGATTCGCCGACTATTCGATTAGTGTTGAATTGATTTACTTAAAAATCGCATTGATATGAATCGATAAAAGAAATCGCTAGATCGTATACACTTGAATCGATCTTTCTAGAAACGAATGGTAATGTAAATGGTAAATGTACCGTACTCAGCACAAATCTACCACCTACTGTCGACACATGACAACGGTGACAAAATCTACCGTAATCTGCAGCAGTTGGATTTTTGTAGTAAAGCATATCGATCTCGCACCTCCTTTACTATTAAAGATATCCGGCCCCTATAAGGAAATCGTTTGATGCAGCAGTCTATCTAAAGGCATGTGTCGGTGTGACCTCCTTACATCGTCATCCCACCTTTTTATTTAAGTTTTTTTTATTTTATTCTCACACTCGTATTTAAATTCAAATTTTGAATTATTCCATTCTTTTGCCTCGCATTCTGATTTTGTTTCATTCCCTGCCCGATCGGGCGAAGAACAATCTTCTGGTTCTTTTTTTGAACCGTTTACCATTTTGCTAGAAATCTCTTGTACAATATACATTTTGAAGATCATAAGTATTGTTAAAACCGCAATAAAAAAACGCCAGCAGCAGCAGCAGCACTCTTACAGGCATAGGCAAATATGCGTCAATTTTAAGCCTGTTGAAGAAATGTTGTAAAGATCAAATCAAAACATTTATAACAATGAAGAGATTGTATTTGGTAATTGTTGTTTTATAAAAATTTAGACAATTTTTTACTAAAGTTTTAATAATTCCTCTCCTAATTTTTGTAAATGTTCAGATTTAATTTCTAATTTTTTTTTTAATTTTCCTTTGAAGTAACAAGTAAATTAAGCACGAAAATGGTTTTTCTCAATCATATTTACTTAAGTATAAGCTAAAATAATGTAATTCACTCTCATAAAAGGTTATTTTTACTAAGTTAAGTTACTATTGAAAGCATCATAAATCAGTAATATACCATTATCACAATGTTTTTTCCGGGCCTAATGACCATAATTTCTTAGGATCTACCGTATTTTAAGAGCGGAATCACCGTCGACCAGATTTTGTACATGGCAACACTGTGCATCCCTACTTTAGTCCTGCTTCGGCTGTCATACAGAGTAGAGGTTGTGTCGCTTTGTCACGGCTTTAAAAACGTGTGCCTCATGCACACATATACGAAATGCTTAGAATACCTAAAATGATTTAGCGCTAGAAGTTCGGTACCCTCTTAATAACTCCTCAAAATCGTCTTCACTGGTAATAATGGACGCGAATTCTTGTTACTTGAGACAAATATTACAATAAGCCATTATCACTTCGCTATCTCCGAGGAAGCTCTAAATACAATTTGTATTAATCTATTTCACTGAATTGATCCGTTCGGAAATTCCTTTATTAATTGCGTTACAGTTTACTTAGTAAACGTTTCATCGTTTAGTAATAACGAAAATGAAAATGACGAGTAACTGCATTAATACGCAGAATATTTAAATTTTAAGTTGTTGGTTTCTGTTTTAAGTTGTTGCGCTATACAGACCGAATTTTTAAATGGAAAAACTCTAAATTAATGGTCTAATTTTAGAAATTTTTATTTTTACTATAACTTTACATTACATTTGATATCATTAAAATTGGCCCAAATAACTATCACCGCGTTTTAATTACTGATTGACTTCCATATGTGCACTCCTTGGACTTGTCAACTTCTCTCTCTCTCTCTCTCTCTCTCTCTATCTTTTTTTACAATATCAAGTGACGGGACGAACAAGTCGTGCGCCTGATGGTAAGTTACACGCCTGTCCATAACAGTTACAGTCCGTCACCCTGGGATATAAGTTGACAAGTCCCATGCGCCTGTAATTTCACCAGCACCCATACCCTTCACGACCGGAAAACAATAATGCTGACATTACTGCTAGACAGCAGAAATATGTAAGGTGGCAGTACTTCCCTGGACCAACTCTTTCACAAGGAGTAGTAGTGCTATTAGATCGTTGTGATTTAAAGCTCTGAATGGTACTGCGCAGTGTCGCTTACCATCAGGCGTACGACTTATTCGTCCCCTCGCTTCGTATTATAAAAAAAGTTAAAACTAATTAAGTATCTAACTTTGCACATAATTTTTACATGGAGTTTAAGATTAAGTACTACACAGAACCTGATAGATTTTGGTTTTCAATTGAAGCCCTGTAGTTATTAAATTGTCATTTATCCCAAAATTTGAAAATTGCGCACCGGTTTAACGACGCACTGCGCCGCCCGCTGCTCCATCAGTCGCCATCGGTCGCTAGCCGACGTCAGAGCTGTATAAAATTTTCTCCACCTGTTCTTATTTTATTAACCGACTTCAAAAAAGGAGGAGATTCTCAATTCGATTGTATTTTTTTTTGTATGTATGGTACGCGATAACTTCAGTATTTGTGAACCGATTTTCATGTTTCACTTCCATAGTAGTCCCATTTCATTTTGAAGAAAATCATCCACCTCTTAGGGTGGCTGTTCACGCATGAAGATTCATTTTCATAAATAGCGCCTAACATTAATTTAGGAGCAATTACTTTAATGGTTGATTTTGCTATTTCTCCAATTCAAGGCGTTTTTCTCTCGATATATTTTGAGTAGTGTCGTAGTGAGAACCTATTTTTATTATTTCCAGTGTCAAGTCCTGTATAGTGGCGAACTAGGGGATATTTCAATAAAACTTAGCAAATAGACGTAATTCCACGTACTTTTGAGGTCGGTTTTTTTAGTACTCTGTACTGAGATCATTCATATTCATTTACATCGCGGGGGTTGTCGGACGCGAGAGGCTTTTGTTTTTTTTTTAATTCTCGCAATTGCGGAAACTGATACTACTATTCGAATACATATGAAAGTTTTTCTTTAGTCTGTTTACATTATTCATTGTAATAACAAAGATATTAAAAGTTTAGAGCAGCGAACAGAAATGGATTTTCTTTGTTACTGGACTGGCCTAGGCCGGTATAGAGTTCCATGGAAGCATTTATTTAAAATATGCAAATATTTGCGAGCGTGTTTATGAAACTAAATTAGGTACGCCATATTAATATGGTATGAAAGATTGGCACGCTTCATAAATGACAAACTTAGTGGCAAATTTCCAGTACATAGATTTCGCTGCATTGCGAGTTCTTTTTTTTAAGTTATGCAAATGTTTGCGAACGTGTGTTTACAAAAAATATTTCATATTGTTTCAGGGGAACCAGCGGCATTGACATAGATCTTCGGAGGGTGGACATTGACCAGTGTCCTCTTAAACCTGGTTCTACACAGCTGAACATCTTCGCTGGCACCGACAAATGCAAGAAGGCCACCACTGAGGTATGCCAATACTTAGTAACACCACAGTTTTACAAATTTAACAGTTGCGTTATTAATGTACTTGCGCAAAGCTACGGTGGGGAATTCGTGGGGAAGCGTGCGCCGCTGGTCGCTTCCCACAAATACGCTTAGTTTGTGGGATCGAGCGTTAAGGGTAAACACGTGCGTGATGTAATATATTTTTGAATATGTTTAGCGAACCCTACGCAAATTATTGTAAATACATGTAATAGCGAATGATATAATGGATATTGTCGTAAGTTAAAAGCCCGTTTTAGGCAATACTTTCGTTCCTTTCTTGGAACCAATATGTTTTTACTTACTAAGTAACAAAGTATGCAGGATGCAGGAGTTTACAAGCTTGACTGTGAGTGCGGTCTCTCTTATATTGGACAAACAAAGCGAAGTATTTGTACCCGCGTCAAAGAACATATAGCTGATGTCAAACACCGTCGCGTAAACAAGTCTGCAGTCTGCGAGCATGTCATGGATAAACCTACACATTCAATGAAGTTTGGCAAACTCCAGGTCCTTGCAAAAGAAGTACGTTATCTACCCAGGATACTGCGGGAGGCAATTGAAATTAAAAAACATCCTAATTTCAACAGGGAAGATGATTTCTCCGTACCACCAGTTAGGGATCCAATATTTCCTTTAATGAAAAATCCCAAACAGACATAAGACTGCAGTACTAATTAATATGTTTTAGTTTATTCTAATTTCTATTATTAATTAATAATAAATTGAACTTAATAAAAATTCATTCAATAAAATAATTTGTAACACTTAATGTAGCGTAAATTAGAATGTTTTCTTTGTAAAATTAAAAATAAGATATTTAATTTATAACTATTGTAACTATAGTGGAAAAATAGGGTGGTTTGCATCAATATTAGACGTAACTGGTTGAAGACTGTACCACCTCAGTCAACCGTGACCATGGGACCTGTAAAGGGCCCGAAACGTCGATTTGTTTGAAAAAACAAATATACGCGATTTAAATCCGGAAAAATAGTTTCATTTCCTAAGTAACAAAGAATTTAAATCACACCAAGTTCATGGTATCTTACTTAATTACTATTAATTTGTTCCTCCGATTGCGAGTGCACCATATTGTTAAATTTTGTAACAGAAAACTGAAAACATCTAAAACTAAAATGTCACATAAACGTTTGAAAGGGCAACACAAGTGAGTCTTTGTTTATTAACAAACTCAAGTAACTGTTTATTACTTATCTATATTTATATCTATTATTATAAATGATTATGTTACAATAAAAAATCACAATTATTATTTTCTCTATTTTGTGACAACCCTTGCATATCCACGTATGACAAAGTAAACCTCGGGCGGCGGCGCTATCGCCGAACATCAAATATTTTGTGCTATTCTAGGGAATAGTTATGTAATCTTGCTCTGAATGAATAGTGTGTTATGGAAACCGGAAACAACGAAGGTATCACAAACACAAGAGGCCCGAAACAATATAGAATGGTTAGTTTTTCTACATTTACTCGGCTGATATTGTTGTTTAATATTCTAATACTGCGGTAAACACGTCACTACGTCTCGTTTATCTAAGATGAAACCTGCCTAGAAGACAAGATTAGACTAAGATTCAAATTCAGATCCTATGGATGAAACTTCACTACATGTTCTTAAAAAATGTGATTCAATGGTCATATCATTCTATAATTCATATATATGTTGAAATCTAAAATTAAATAAAATCCTAAGTACTTTTGGAGCTATTTAACACTGAAACGAGGCGGCACCAGTATCCATCCAGACACTATGTCCGATGGAGTCATCAGTTCTAATGAAACTGACGTTATATGTAACTTATTTGCATCGCACATCTCATCCGTTTATGGAAGGTCAACTGGGAGGGAGGTAATATGTACCGAGTCTAATAGTTGCGGCAGTAACAGTACACTAAGCACGATAACTATTACGGAAATGCAGATATGCAAAGCTCTAAAGGGTTTAGATCTGGTCCTGACAACATTTCTCTACTAACAAGTTTTCTTATCTCGTAACGCCGACAGACTATCAGTTCCTATTACAATCATTTTTAATAAATCTTGCATAGTGATGTCTTTCCATTAGCTTGGAAAAATACCAAAATAATTCCGGTTTACAAGAGTGGAGACAAATCGATAGTATCCAACTAGAGGCCCATTGCTATACTTTCTACATTGGCAAAGGTATTGGAAGGTAAAATTTGTCCAATTTTATCTTGGCACGTCTCCACTTTTGATCTAACACGAGCGTCTAACTCGGTTTTATCAAAAATAGTTCTTCAGCAACAAATTTAATGACGTACGCTGAAGACCTCGCGGAGGCTGTAGATGCAATTACACAGGTGGATGCGGTTTATACCGACTTCAGCAAGCCTTTCGTCACAGTGCATTTTTTTTTATGTAAAGAAGGAGGCAAACGAGCCGACGAGCCACTTGATCGTGGTCATCGTCGCCCATGGACATTTGCAACATCAGATGAGCTGCCTATGCGTTTGCCAGCCTTTGAGAGCCCTGTACACACGCTTTTTGAAGAACCGCATGTCATAGCGCAAAGGGAACACTTCAGGAGGAAGATCATTCCACATCTTGTAGGTTCGAGGAAGGAACGAACGAGATGCCCGTGTGGTCTTGCAATGCCAGGCATCTAAGATGTGGGGATGGACTCTACTTCTTTGGCGGGAGGTGCGATGGTAGAAACGAGACGGTGGCACCAGTTCGAAAAGTTCCTCAGAGCACTCCCCATTATAAAAACGGTAGAACACACACACAGAGCCAACGTCTCTCCGTAAGCTAAGGGGCTCCATACCGTCTGTGTTAGTTTGGGATCATCGATAATACGAACAGCCCTACGTTGGCTATCCAACTCTATAGTCAAGTGGATCAAGCTGGTATTTGGGAGCTCCTGCCCAGAGATGCGAGCAATACTCCATATGAGGCCGTACTTGTGTTTTATATAACAAAAGTCGTTGACCTGGAGAGAAGTACTGCTTCGCTCTATTGAGCACTCCGAGCTTTTTTGAAGCCAGTTTGGCTTTGCTCTCCAAATGACTCCGGAACTGGACTACGCTCGTGATGTCGACTCCAAGTATCCAATACTCTTTGAGATGGTAAGGGCAGTATTCTGGAACTTTGGCGCTATTACGAATGGGGATTTTTTAGCAGCACACTTGTGTCTTTGCGAGGTTAAATTTTACTAAATTCTGTTGCCCCCATTCTGCGACCTGCTCCAAAGAAATCTCGATTTTGGACACAAGTTGCAGTCTGTTTTGTTCCACTTGTTGGTGGGGCATATTTGTGCGACCTGTATAATAGGCATCACCGGTACTGTCATCCGCATAGCAATGAATGTTACTAGTTAATAACATATCATGAACAGAGTTAGTGATAGCACAGATCCTTGCGGAACGCCGGTGTTGTTGAGCATGGTGTCCGAGCACAATCCGTCGACGGCGACTTTTATGCTACGTTCAGACAGGAAGCTGGCGATCCAAGTGCACAGCCCTTTTGGAAGCCCGTAAGATGGTAGCTTCGACAGAAGTGCCTTGTGCCAGACCCGATCAAAAGCCTTAGCGATGTATAAGCTCACGGCCATTGCTTCCCCCTTGCTCTCGATGGCAGCTGCCCATTGATGCGCGAAGATATACAAGAAGATCACCAGCACCACCTCCGCGGTGAAAGCCGTACTGGCGGTCGTTAATAAGTTGGCAATCCTCGAGGTAATCTAAAAGCTGATTGTTTACCACATGCTCCATCATCTTGGAGAGCAAGGAGGTTATCGCTATAGGCCGATAGTTGGACGGATCTGTACTGTCACCCTCCTTGGGTATGGGGTGAATGCAGGCTATCTTCCACCAAGACAGGACTTTACCTGAGTGGTACGAAAACGAGAAGAGTCAGAGAGAGTAAGACCGGAGTCAACTCGGGAGCGCACGTCCTGAGCACAATTGCAGGAACGCCATCGGGTCTACTGGACGTCTTGACGTCGAGGGCAAAAAGAGCACGCCGTACCGCATTTTGCGTGAATTGCATCATGGTATCTTAATCAATAAGTTAAAGAGTTGCTGTATTGTGGAACCCTTGCTGAGTTGGTTGGATTCTTATCTGGCCGGGCGTAATCTCAGTGTAATGATAAACGGTTTTAGCTTAAATTCTTACGCGGCAACGTCCGACATTCCGCAAGGATCTCATCTGGGTCCTTACTTTTTCATTCTGTTTATCAACGATATCTACACATGTTTTCACAATTCAAAAATATATTTGTTTGCCAACGATCTTAAGACCGTAAAGTCTATTCAAGACTTAGCTGACTCAGCCCATTTTCAGGATGATCTCAATAGGTTTTCAAGTTGGTACAAAAGGAACAGGATGGCTTTAAACATTAAGAAATGCAAACACGTTAAATTTACTAGAAACAAAAACATTATAGCTACGAAATATAGATTAATGTTAGAAACTCTTGAAAAATTGGATGGTATGCGTGATATAGGAGTTTACTTTGATAAAAAGATTAAGTTTGACAAACATATCGACAATATTGTTGCAAAGGCTTTAAGAATGCTCGGATTTGTATTAAGAGAATGAACTTTAAAAAACCAACAGTTGAACTTATAATGTACAACTCTTTGGTTAGGAGTCACTTGGAGTATTGCAGCGTAGTCTGGTCACCGTGCTACAATGTTCATAGCATAAGAAATAAGAAACTTCGGAAAAGATTCATGTACCACATGCAATATGGCCAAGAAACTCAACTCATATACTCGTAGATCGTTTAAACGATTTTGGGTTTACTACACTTGAAACAAGACGCAAAATGCACGACTTAGTTTTTTTGAACAAATCAGTAGGGTTTTTAATTGTCCAGATTTATTAAGTTCAGCGCTCCAATTCAACGTCAGAGAAATCATAATAGGAGGTTGTTTTGCATTCCAAAACATCGTACTAATCTCAGATTGCATTGTCCCCTCTCTCGGATGTGT